CTGCAGTCCTCCAAAACCTCTTTCCTGCTATTTTTGGTTTCCAAGGAAAGCCAACACAACTGATCATATTTTCTGTCATGCCAGTAATGCCAGTTTCATCCCCTTCTTCATCCCCGTAAAACACGTGGTTCCATTTTGTCACTAGATAATAGTAAGAAAGGGAAGGAACTTGACTAAGCTGAGATTTTAGCCCCAGGTCTGCCACTCGCCCTTCCCTGGCCTTGTAAAAGGCTAGAAAGTCTCAGCCTTCCAATCTGAGAAGTGGGGGACAAAGGAGACGTATTTCCCTGGGACGCAGGGGTGCGTTAGCGAGCTCAGTACCCAACAAGCTGCGGGGGAAGGAGGCATGCAGGCACCTGCAGCTCTTGGCAAAGGTACACCTAGCTGAGCCCGCTCAGACTCAGCGTCAAGGACCCGAGTGCAGCCTGCAGCTAAGTGCTGACCTGCTGGGAGGGCTGATTACTTTTTGTCACAGAGAAAGGCTCTGCCAGCTTGCTTCAAACCAGATCCCTCCCCATCCCCTTCTCAGGGACTGTCTCCTACCTTGTTGTGTTTCTCGCTGGCATTCAGGTATGGGTGTTGGCTTCCCGGGGAGCTGGCACTGCTTTGTGGTGGGAGGCTGCCTCCACCCAGCTGGGTCTGCAGGGAGAGAAAGCAAGAGCTAAGCCCCAGGAGTTTAGTCCTTTCCTCAGTTTCCCAGACACCGCCTCCCAGTGCGGCTCATAGGGGAATGACCTCCTCCCAGTTCTGGGCAGGCAGTGTGGCTCCTTCAGGCTCAGGAGGAGAGGGGATGCCAGGGGAACAGGAAGGCTGCACGTGTGCATGTGCACAAGTGCACGTGTACAATCTGCTTCTGCTCCCAGCCAGCATGGGACCCTCCTGCTCTGTGCAGCTAGGAAAGCTGCTTCACACCTGGTGGAAGGGCAGGTGGGGTCCCCATTAATTCTGGCTTCTGCCCACATTTTCACACCTCTGCTGTACTCACATGATAAATGAAATTCTTCTTGTTCGCCCAGTCACTTTCCAATGGCTTTTCTGGGTTGTTTGAGGCTCGGGCTGGCTCTGGACCCTTCCAGTCATCTTCCAACCGCTGCGCTGGACTCTCAGGCCTTTTCCAGTTGTTGTCTGGCCGTGGCCCTGCATCTAGACATCTAGCGGGACTCCTCCAGTCCCTTTCCAGCTGGTGCATCAAGTCCACATGGCACATGGGCTTCTCTTGGCGCTTCCAGTCCTTCTCCATCTTCTGAGCGTGGCGGACATCTCCCTGACTCTTCCAGTCCTGCTCCAGTGGTTGCGTTGGACTCATGGGGCGCAGGGGCTTGCCTCGGCCTTTCCGGTCACTGTCTGTGCCCTTCCCTGGGCTGGAAGGCTGCAATTTTGCCCTGAGGCTCTGCCAGCCACACTCTGGGCGCTTCCCGGAGCCCCCAGCATGCAGCGGCTCTCTCGATTTCATCCATTTCCCCTCTGCACTCCGCACTGGGCCGGCAGGGGCAATCTGCTTTTGGCTTTTCCACGTGCTCTCTGCCTGTCTCCTGGGACTCACCAATCGCAGAGGCCCTGTTCGGCTGAGGCTGCTGTTATCCGAACTCCTCCCGAGGCTCACGGGGTGCAGGGAATCCCCTCGGCTCTTCCTGTCCATGTGCTTCCCCGTACTCCCAGTCTGCCAGGCTGCTCGGTCTCTCTCTGCGTGCTTCTCCAAACTTGTGGGGCGAAGGGACTCCACTCGGCTCCTCCAGTCTTTCTCTGGATGCTGAGGAGGGCTCGTGGCCTCCCCTATTCTCCTCTCCGATCTGCGAGCTGGGCTTGTGGAACGCAGGCTTTTGCTGTCCCTCTCCAGCTGCCGAACAGGGCTCACAGACTCTCTTGGTTTCCGCCAGTCTCTCTCTGCCCATGGAGTTGGGCTTATGGGGTGCAGGGGGTCCCCACGGCTCTTGCTGTTCCTCTCCAGATGCCGAGCTGGGCTCGGGGAGCGCAGGGACCCCTTGAGGTCTCTGCTGTGCTGCTCGAGGTGCCGGGAGAGCCGCTGGCCCTAAGGACACAGGGGAGAGAGAGCAGAGTGTCCTCTGAAAAAAAGAACGCTGAGATCTCCCAGGTGAAAAGGAGTAAGAAAAGGTGGGATTAGGACTGGGAGACAGTTTAGTTGCATACCTCTGCAGACAAAAAGCATCACAGCAATTGCATGCATGTGTGTAGAGCCAACATGCACCTAAGAGAAGCCTCTTATACCTGAACAGTGAAGGGGCAGCTGCCATTCAAGAGCAGAGTCCTCACCTGTGACAGGCAGAGTGGGCTGCAAGGAAGGAGCTGGGAATAGAGGGAAAGAAAGGGAGAAGTAGAGGAAAACGAGGCAGGAAAAAGCAGCCCAGCTTGGGGCTGCGCTCTGTAAGCTTTAGAGAGGGTTAGGGTCCCACCATCTGGCCAGCTCACCTCTTTGGCTAGGGTGGGGCTGGACTGCCTCCGAGCTACTCGACCTTTGCTGGGTGGCACGGGGGTCTTCCCATCGAGCCGGTCCACACGGCCCTCCTCCAGGGCCTGGAAGGCCTCCAGGGTCTCCGATTTCCTGCTGGCACACACAGTCCATCCCAGATGCTGCTCCAACTTGGCTTTTAGGGCCCCAGCCAGAGGCCCGCAGCCCTAAGGCTCAGAGGCTACATCTGGCAGAGATCTCATGAGCAGTTTGTGACCATGGTCACTACTCCATCTGAGCTTGACCGTGCAGATCTCTGTAAGGAGAGGCCCTGTAGCCTCCCCCTTGCCCCATCTCCATCACTTTAACCACCCTTGCTTATGTGCCTCACTTTCTTACCCGTATCTTCTTTCCATTATTGCTTGAGGGAAAACTCAGCTTCCCTCCATCCTGTCCTTTAATCCCACATCCCATCCTCTCTCCCCAGGATATTCAGCTGCCTGGTCACCATTTACTTCCTCTTCTCCCCTTATCCCCTGTGCCACCAGCTGGCAGTCAGTGCTACAGCCACTTGCGCCTCTCAAGCCAAAGCCATGCTGTGCACCTGCAAGCAAGAACTAACTGGCACTGGGGATTGCTGGGCAACCCCAATCCCCACCCAAGTGGCAAGCAAGGCTGCAGCTGAGCCTGAAATTGCAGTCTCATCCCGTGACCCAGCAGTTTTCTGAAAGCTACAGCGGAACTTGGATCCCTGGGGAGCCACGGACACTGTGGGAGGGGGAACCATCTCTGGAGTTCACCCCTTGCACAGCTATCCCAACCCCACAGCATGCCTTGCAGCTTCTGGGACATGGCTGGGAGGATGAGGAAGGTGGGCTGCTGCCTCTGCTTCCACCAGCTCAGCTTGGCTGCCCCTTTCCAAGGGCCTCACCTGCCTGCATGCCACAGGTAGGGCCCTCCAGCCTGGGAGCTCCTCGGAGGGCCCTCATGAAGGCAGGGAGGTGCTGGACATGGACCCAGCCCTACCTTTAAAGAAAATGTAAGCACAGCTGAAGTACCAATGTGGGCTGGGCTTCCACGTCTAGCCCTGCTGTCCCCCTAGCATGAAGACTTGGAGGTCTTAGCACAATCTGAGGGCATTCCCATGCCTCTAACCAACCAGATCAGCATGGAGACCCATCCTACTTCTCACCTGCGCTCGCAGCCAAATATCCGCTCCACCTCCACCCGGCCAGGGCTGAGTGTGCGGGAGCTGTTGCGATCGAAAGCCTCCCTGTGGCTGAGGCGTTTGGGCTTGGGCAGGTCAGCCAGCGCCGTGTACGCCTGCCTCTCCAGCCCATGCCGCCCATCTGTGCCTCCACTGCTGGGGCGCCCACTGGGCTCCCGAGTTGGGGAGCCAGAGGAGAAAACAAGGTGCCCACCAGTGCCCGGTGGGTCACTGCGGGCAGGTGAGGGGCTGCGGCTGGCACGCGGTGGGGAGGAAGCCCAAGGAGGGTCAGATTTCCGGTGCTCCAGGGAGGAATAGCTGTTCTCCTTGCGACGCTTTTCCCAGCTCTCCTCAGGCTTCTGGCCTGTTGGACCATACTCTGGGATGGGGAGAAAGCCATTACTGTGGGAGGCGTGAGCAATGCAGGAGAGAGCCACTGCATCTACTGCAAAGCAGGTCTTCAGGGGAGAGCTAGAAATGATTCCTGAAGGCACAGACAAAACCCAGACCCTCCAGGCAGGGTGGGAGCCCCTGGGACAGGACACTGTGAACCAAGGGCACACCAAGCCATGCAGACAGAGGACACCCAGGAGACGCACATTTCGAGGTCAACACGCAAGAGATGCGGTCTCACAGACCCTGAGCCTTATCCTTTCACACGGTTCCCACAGCGGTTTCTAAGACCTCTGAGACCAGAACTAGGCCCTGGATAAAGAGATGCTAAGAGAGCCCAGGCACCTTCAATTTAAACACAGTTCTGCTGTGAAATTCTGAGAACCCCATAAAGGTCCCCAGGTGAAAAGCAAGCCAGAACTAGGATCTAGCATGGGAGCAAACCAAATGTACCTGCTTTCAGAGGGCAGATTTCTTTCCTAAAGCTCTGGGACTCTGTTCTCGCCCAGGGTGCAGAGGGAACGGGCTGACCCCACCTGGCTCTGTCTGCCTGCAGGGCTTGCGTCCGCACCTCTTCCTTGTGGCCCGTGTAGTTCATCATGTCTCGCTTGCCCGATCCCAAAACACTGTCCCACAGCCTGGTCATTTCCCTGTCCTGAAAGGGAAGATAAGGCAGATCTCTGCAATGGGGTCAGAAAGCTGCCACTGGAAGCCTTTGCAGGCTAGATGGAGGCAGAAGCATAGGTGAGGAGTTACAGCCCATTCAGTCCAAAGCTGCTGGTGAAAAGGGACCAGGAGAGGAGCAGGGGGAGCATAAGTTGATCCCAGCCCGACATCAGCTGGCATGCCAAGGAATAACATAGGAAAGCCTGCATGAGGGAATCCAGGAGTAAATCTGCTGATGTACTAAGGGGAGAGCCTGCTTTGCAGGGACTAAAGGCCTTCAACAATCCCCCCTTGTGTTTCAGGAGTTTCTGAAAACACCCAGCAGAAGTGGAACTGAAGGGCTGGGGCAAGGGGGTAGGGGAGAGTGAAATAGCCCAAACCAAGAGACACCCCTTTGCTACTCCCCATCTTACCCTGGTGAGCGTGGAGATGGTGTCGGCACAGGTCCTGGGGTCAGTGCCAGGGTTGGTGCCGGTTTCTCTGTGCTCGCCCTCCGCTCTGGGGCTGAGCGGGGGATATGTCCAGCCCTCGTCCCAGCTGTGGATTAGGGACACAGGAGAGCCGGTGGTCAGCACAGGCCGAGGGGCTCAGGGGTAGACAGCAGCACCACGCCGCCAGCTCGAGACACGAGGTCTCTTACTCCGCAGAAGGGGCGTCGTGTGGCAGAGCCTGTCCTGGGACCCCCTCATAAACCCCACCAGCCTCTAGAGGCAACGAGGAAAAACAAAACTCTCTGTGGCCCCTCGAGGCCTCCGGGGTTGGCTAAGAGAAATCCAGTTAGAGGACACGGCGGCGGTGGCTTGCTCAGCCCTCGGTCGCAAGCTGGGGCACACAGAGCGTCAGTGGTAACGCATCTGCCCCCGTTGTGGCCACGGCCTGGCTTCCCTCGCAGCCTGCCCCGTTACTCGCACCAAGGGGGTTTGCTCAAGCGCCGCTGCTCCGGTCTGCACTCACCGCTCGCTCTCGTCTGCGGGGCCCACGCTCACGTATACCTCGCACTGAGGTGCTACGATGCAGATGGTGTCCCAGGGCCCGCCTGGGTCCGTACTGCTGCCAGCCTCGTGCCCCCGGGCCTCCACGGCATGCTCCTGTGAGGAAGAGGAGGGAAGGCAGTGATGCCGCCACTGTGTCAAGGATAAGGAGGAAGGCTCCCTTTTGGAAACTCCCTCTACCTCCTCCGAGAGCACCCCCGGCACTGGGGCTCTCACTGCCTCTCTCAGCCCATTTCTCCTCACTGACAAGGTTTTTCTCCTACTTTGGGATGCCAGAGGGGCCTGGTGAGGTCCTGTTTGACGAGGAACATCTCCCCTGCTGCAGCCACTATGGAAAAAGAGCACGCGGAAAAGGGCTCCCTCGCAGCCCTCACCCGTGGAGAGGGTGACGGAGCAAGCCAAGAGGAGGGGAGGGCAATTTTTGCAAGGAAGGTCGCGGCCCCAGCCTCTCTCTGCTGGGGCTGGGAGGCACGTTGGTGTTTCCCCGGGGCTTGGCTGCTCCTCCCCAGCCCCGTTACCTTCACGGCTTACAAGCAAGGGGGGGAAGGCTCCTGGGAGCCGGCTGTCCGCACCGCTTTCCCTCCAGCGTCTCGCCCGCGCCGGGATTCGCTCAGAGGTGATGGCTCTGAGCTGATCGCAGGCAAAGGGCTGAGGTAACTCTAGAGGGCCCGGGGCCAGGGGAGGAGAGGAGAGAGGGAAGCTCATTACTATTTCATAATCCCAGGCCAGTCGCTCCTGGAGGACAGTGAACAACACGAAACCCTCCGTGAACATGAAACCGGCTGAGGCCAAGCCAGAGGCAGCCTGCCGCAGCCCCCACTCCTGCGCCTGCCCTCATGCTGAGCCCAAATTCCCCCGTGATTTCTCCCCTTCCTGCCTGCCTTCCCCTGCAGGGACATCTCACTGCAGCCACCAGGCGAAGGACTCGGCCCCAGGCCTGAGCCGTCAGCCAGGGCTTCAGGGACACCTGCCGGGACAGAGCATTAGGGGAGGTGGGCTATGAATGCCAGCAGGTGGATTCAGCAAGGATTAAATCCAGACCAAGGTCGGTGCCTGCTTTGCCTGTCCCCCCCCCTTCCCTGCCTGTCACTATTTATCCACACAGGTTGGCATCTGGAGCAACCCTACTTTCCATTTCAGAATGTATCAAGCTTCTCGTCCCCCCGCCGTGTCCAGCCTTTCCCCACTAAGGCAGCTCTGGGGTCTGGTCTGGACCCCAGCCAGCGGGGGTCTGGACACCAGCCAGCGGGCACTGTTAAATAATGGATTCCCCCTGCCTGGGAAGGCTCTCCTCCACTCAGCCTTCCCCCAGAGACATCTAGAAAGCCTGGCTGAGTCTTTGTGTTGGAGATTTCCACATCTACAAAGGCACACAAGAGTCCCAAGCCCAAACAAAGGGGCCCTTAATGAAGTATTCATAGCCTCCAGGTGGGATGGTGGAGCTCACCTGGCCAGCGTGCTGGTGAGCCCCCGCCGCTCGGAAGCAGTGCTGGCACAGGCTCTTTGCAAACGTGTTGGCTTCAAAGCTCTCACAGGGCACATCATCTAACAAACCCGACATAGTCCATACCAGGGACAAAGATGCTTTGGCTGATGTGCTACAGGCAAGGAAGGAAAAGAAGTAAGGAACAGAAGCAGAAAACCAGAGCTTTCAATCCCCTGAGCTCAAGCTCCTTCAGAAGGAGAAACGTTATTCCCAGACTGAAGTTTGCTGCTCTTAGCTGGCCATACTGGAATCAAAGGGTACCAGGATTCAAGGTCATCAGAATGACCCATATAACACATTCTAGAAGGGGACACTGCACTCCATGCTCAAATGTCTGCTGGCGCATCCCGATTTGGGAGTCCCTGAGAACTAAGAGAATGATATCCTGATAGCCTGCTTGAAGGAAGTTTCATTACCTCAAGCTCTGTTAGAAGGCACAAAAGGGAAACCCTTCTTCATGGCTATGTTACTTGTAAAGGGATATCTATAGACAACTTAGGAAATTTAGAAATCCACTGAGACTTTTCCTAAACTTGTTGATCCCACTAAAATATCTGAGATGTGGGGGATAATTGCTTGCAACAGTGCCAAGTACAAGCGTTGCTAGCACAAGGACTGGACTCTGCACTTATGTCCTGACTTTCCCTAGAGCATCCTGGTCATTATCACCTCCCCTGCCCCACTGCATCAAAGCTGTGCCCCAAAGGCAGCCAGTCCATCACTGATGTGAACACACCACCACTCCTCTAAACATAGAGGCTTGAGTAAGAGCAGCTGACCAAGACTATGGCTGCTCCCCAAAACACCCAACGATAACTGTCAACACCAAAACCAAGCCATAATTTTGGTTTGTTAGTGCATCCATTTTGCAATATTGCAACTTGCACCAATGCCAACCTTGCAGCCTCCCTCCTTGCACTGGGCCATGCGTTCTCAGCTCAGTTACCATGCCAAACCCTGGACACGAGCGTGGCACTCACCTGCCGGGGGACATGGTACGAAAAACTCCAACATCGCTTCCCACGGACCGTCACTCGCGTCCGGAGCCCACGGCACCCACCATCTGATGGGCAAAGCACTGCTCCCCGCTTCCCACAAGATGCTTGAGGCTCTCTGCCGGGAAGGCGCTCCTCTGGGCAGATCGGA